AAACTTACACCCTGAAACCCTAAACCCAAATGGGGACCCCAGGATCAAAGGGATTCTAAGGGGTGTGTAGTCGGGGTCAGCATTAGGGATGCCCCCATGTCGAGTTCAGTATTGAGGCTTTAGGTTAGGTGGGTCCAGAATTCCGGGTTTAGGGCGTTATGGAGCCGGAAGCGACGGGATGACAATGCTGCAGATTCGCCCTGGGATGGTATAAGCCTTACAGAATGCCGGTTTTTTGGGGTGCTTTTCCTGCATAGGAGGGTTGATATCTAGGGGTCGCAGGGCTAAAGGATTCGGAGGGATTCAGAATAGCAATTCGAAGGCAGAGAAGAGGGCCCAACAGGAGCAAGATTGACGTAGGGGCCTGACAAAATGGAATAGGGTTTTGGTTGGTGTTTGGTATTATTGCTACCATTACAATATATTACTACTAACTACTATCCCTATTATGACTGCCAGTGCTAGTGTTATACTACGATTATTGCTATCAACTATCGTTGCTATTATGCTGGTAAATCCTGGGCCCTAAGTCCCAAGCCCAAGCACACTGCCTTGCTTACTGGGGGTTACTAGAAAATGCGGGAATATACATATGGGCGGACGTCAAAATACCATGTATGTAACTATGATAGAAGTGCGATATGAGGTCCCGTTCTTGCCGGTTTAGTCTTCGCTACAAGGCGGCACCATGCGTATACGCAAGTTTCAGGCTCTCCCTCATGTAGGCACTAGGATAGCCCTAGCGTGGCGCTAGGTATTCCTTTGATCATAAGGCCTATGGCCTATGGCAACGGTCTCCAAAGATGACATGGTATGAGCTAAAGATGCTTGCGTGCGAAAAATGAGTCTTCCGGCTTGTAGCAGGGTAGCTGGCGTCAAGGGCATGGCTGGGCGAAAGGAGGAAATCCGCACCTGTAGGACCGAATTCAAACCTTTCCTAGTCCCAAAGAGTGACAATTGAGTGACGTGTCCAGATGCGTTGCAGTGTTTGCTCCAGATGCATACTGCCAGCGAGCCAATGAGACAAGATGTGCACTCCCCGCGGTGACCAAGACATAAGCAGTACTAAGACATCTGATTCCAAACATGGCCGGCATGGAAGAGCTGGCGGGGGCTATCCTCAGCGACATCCTAGACCCTACATTCCCATACGGCCCGCTGAGGCCGCCCTCACCCATTACGACGGTGGTCAGACACTGAAGAGACACTTCAGTCTACACACCGCTGGGCGGAACCGATGGAGATGAACGAACAGAGCTCCTGGAGACGACGAGCAAGTCCTAAAATGAAGGCGCTAGTATGTTTTTTTTGAAGTTTTTGCATAGGGTGCAATCAGTACTATGCTTCTTTATTCGCCGAAGCCATCATTCCAGACCTTCATTTTCTTTTTCGTCATATGGCAGCACCATGATTGTTGCAGAGTTCGCCGTTCCTGGAAGAAGGAATATTGACAGCCACCCATATGTATGTATGTATGTATGTATATATATATATATTCACAGAGCTCGGGGTTTTGGGTAGAGATTCAGGGAATATCATCTATAAGGGTTATATAGGGATCGATTCCCTTATTGGTTACTACTGAATACCAGTAAACCGCGCCTGCGCCAGGAAAGCAGTCCAAGCGGAGTTGGAGGACATTGGTTTTCCCAAAGGGCTAGCAATAAAAGCAGTGGTGGCAGACGTGTCGGCATGAAGGGTGTGAAGAATAGTAAGGGGAGTCGTAGGAGTAGAAGTAAAGTAATGATAATTACTGGTGGTAATGGCGGTGATGATTGTTATGATCAGCTGTGATGAGAGCTCCTCTGAGCTTCGTAATGATACCCTTGCGACATTGAAGCCCTAATCATCCCTAAGCCTTATACCTAGTTCAGTGCAGGGGCTCATAGATGCAGCGGCTCATTTCGCGAGGGTTTCCCAAGAATGGTTCCGGGTCAGCTCAAGGCTACAATCCCAATCCCCCGGTTAATAACCCCCTCCGCCCCCGATAAAACAAACACGTAAATAACAGTAATTGATGGTTATAAGCTTAATACTAAACAACCTTTGGGAAGAAGATAATGGTGCTTATGCTGATCATAATAATACGAATATTGATAAACAAGCTTTGGGACTTAAGTATGTGTTAGGCGAATCCTTGCTATCAGGGGGTGGGCGCTGCTATGACAGGGGAACGGGATTACGCCAAGAAGGTTTCATGACGTCACCATAGAGGCAGGCAATTGGGATTCAGGGTTTGGGTTTAGGGGTTAGGGTTTAAGGGTTCAGGGTTTAGGGCAGGTTTAGGGGTTCAGTTTCAATGGCTTCGGCCATTTTTGACGTGTAAGCGTGGCTTAAGTGGAGGACTTAGGGTTTCGTCCAGGAAGTTACAGGAGGAAAGTTGCTGTGCAGGGACCTTACATAATCCCCATATACCCTGTACATTGCCCCATTGTCCCTACACACCCCTTATATTGTATACCCAAACTTTATAATTAGTATGAGGTCACCACTGGAAACTGGTTTCCTGGCGTTGGTCCTTGTGTAGGGCCTGAGGCAAACACTTGCAATTTTAGGGTTTGGGGTTGAGGGCCTCATATGCCCGACCACGCTCATGAGCCATTAAGATGTTTCTTTTGCATTCGGATCACCTGGGCAATTCTCACACAAGCCGGATATGACCCTAAAGGGCCCTTGTGTATCCCCTGGAATCCCGAAAATTCTTATACATTCCTAAAGCCTAAAATTCCAAACACCAATCCTAAACCCTAACCCACAAATCCGTGAACCTTTTATCCATCCCTGGGATGTTCACAGGTCCCAGTTTGAGGGAAGCCTTAAACACCCAAAATGCAGGCTTTTGCATTCTGAGCCAGTAGGTAGCTCATCATCCCCAAAGGTTGTCCCTGAGGGTTCGCAATTTAGAAAAAGGGTGTAGGGTTCAGGGCTTAAAAAGCCTAAACAAACATCTTCAACATGGCCCCTTGGGTTCTGAATTTGTGAAACGAAGGACTTGCGACTGGAGTTCGAGGCCTTCAAGCAGGAGAGATTGGGATTCATTGCAACAAGCTCCTGAATTTGATGGTGACCTGCTCAAGGGCTTGGGGTTAAATTTGCTGGGTTGTCCTTTCGGATTTTTTAATTTCCCATATTATTTGTAGAGAACCCTAGTAGTACATGATTTTCAAATGGCTGAAAGGACAACCCAATTTAAGGATTCGAGCTGGGATTTTGGGGGGCAGACTTTGGGCCTGGAGTTGGGGCTTAGGATGTTGGATTTAGTTTGGGAGCTTACGGCTTTGGATCTTGGATTTAGTTTAGGTCTTAGGGGGTTTTTGGGCTCAGGGGGGAAGCTTTAGGCTTTTATGAACAGTGTCCACTTTTGCAGAAATGCAATCAAGGGGGCAAGCTTGAGAGAGACTATGCGAACGCTTCCACGGTCAACTATTTGCAGGGTGGCACTAAAGCACCAAACTTTGCCTGCAACGGGATCAGTAGAGAAAGGGCAGCTGGGAGAAACTATGTGAATTTTTCCAAATCTTGTTGTCGGCTAATTCTTTAAAATGCTCCCTATACAATCCCTAGTCTGCCCCCAAATCCTTGTTGAATCACTCTTTATCTCGCCCTGTGGCAGAAATGCCCGGCTGCATGGGGCCTTCTGTTTTGAGAAATGGCCGGCTGCAGGAGCATGAGGACTTCTTGAGACGGCGACTCCCGGGCGCAGACACGGGGGAGCTTCCTCGAGGCATCTTATATACAGTAGTTTCCATTTCATTTTTCATTATCCCTATATCATCCCTATATAATATAGTGGTTTGAATTTAATTGTCCATTCTACATGGGATGATATAGAAGCGAGCACGATTCTTACTTGGAGGCCTTCTTCACTTGACAAGTCTACTAGTTATCAGGCTCATGGAGATCGCGACGGGACTCCTTGGGGGATAGTAGGTATAGACGTACTATTTGTAAGTCAAAAGCGCCTCCGAGTAGGCGCTTGTATTGAGAAGTGGATTCAGGATTGGTTGGGCAGTACTGTCATTGTACGAGGAGGATCGGAGGATTGCGTGCATAAGATGTGGCATATAGCGATGTGTTCGGGATAGTATTCTTACCTAGCTCATTTTCAGCATGTTGTGCGGAGACTCGGGTAGGGATAGCTTCAGCCACCCTGTGTCCTCCCCTTGACAGTGCGGGTTCACATGCTACTTCGTGTGCATAGGCAGGCGAGGAGTGGGCTGAACATCAGGAATTCTTGATGGCCGGGGCTCCTTGGAGACTAGGCCATCAACACAGGATCTATATAGGCTTTCCAAACAGCACGCCCTAAACGCTGAATCCCTAGTCCCGATGTATTTTTGTTTGCGTTTCGCTTAAACATGTCCGCTTGGACAGCTTGGCTCTACGTCGGCAGTGGTGGCCATGTGCTACTTGCCGGGTTTGAAATTATATTGGACTGAGGCGTCGCTTCAGTTGAGAGTTGTCTGGAAGCTCATACAATCAGGATGCTAAGATTTTGCAGCGGGATCAGCTTGAAGCAGACGTTTTTGCGCGGCAAACTGAACTTAAACTTTATACCGTCACAAGCCCCTACTTCCAGAAATCTCCGAAGCCTCTGACGCCCATTGCCTAAGACCCATCCCCAGCTTGAAGACTCGCCCCGCTCAACCAGCTTACCAACTTGAACTGAGTCACCATACAGAATAGGTTCCCTTGTAACGAGGTCATATATGATGCAACACCTTTGAGTGCATGCCGCGGTGTAGCCAGTATGCTCCCTCGACTGGCTAATTCCTGTTTCTGGAACTGTTTGATTGAGATTGGCGGTTTGGTGAATGCAAAGCACCCCCTTGTCCTATGACTTGACAGGCTTCGAGAGCCTTACCGAGCTGGTCCGCATTGCCACCACCTCGAAGGAGGAGGCACTGCATCGGGGGTCCATCATGAAAGCACCCTGTACAAGGGACCACCAACTTGGGCAAGTATATGGGAACTAACTGTGCGCGAAGTGCTGGGATTGAAATGCGACTTTGATTTAAAGGAATGACGGCTTCATGGGTGATGCTTTACCGAACAAGCAGTCCAGGGTGTGTGGACATTGTGGTCGTCACACTGCCACTGCCAGGCCCTGAAGGAGCGAGCAGCCAGAGAAAATCTCCAGCAGGCATTGGATGCTTTGCCTTTCACGCCACAGCAGCAGGTCTATGTCTATGTTGAAGGAATCATATTTGAGGGATAGCCAAAGCCCATGCTGTTCGGGTTTGTTCAGATTAAATTGGGTCTGTTTGAGACCCACTCCCGAGCTTCACATTCCTGCAGGCCAGCTGAGGAGTGCACAGTCCCACAAAACTTGCACCGAATGCCCCAAGCCCTAAAGTTAAGAAAGCTCTGTTTCAAACTGGAGGTGCTCCAAGACATCGAGCGAGAGATTCGCCAAAGATATCCTGTGCTCATGAGCCTGGAGCCTAAGAGGTTGTTGCGTTTTGGGGCTTGATTTTAACAATCAAGGCTTCGCGTTTGACTGTTGCAGGCGGAGGCATGGTAGTTGTCAAGGGTCGTTTCACGCACATGTCTCCGGTTTCCTTAGACAGCATCCTCATGTTTTACTGCTTTTGTGTCTAGCCCTAAGGAATCTAAGGCACGGTTAAAGGTACTATTTGTATGACAGGTCTAGCGAGATTACGGTGTTTGCAAAAGGCTGATGAAGGCAGTGCGCAGGTGGTGCATGATTTGCACTTTTGGCATAGTGCTACGTTTGATGACCATCGCAAGATATAAGGTTTTTCCAAAAATTGGAAACCAGGAGCCGTTGTTGTAGCCCATTCCGTTGCAAGTTCATACTTCTATCGGTTTTCCAACAGTAGCAGAATGTTTTTCTTAATTAGGCGTCCACATCATGTCTCACTGTCAGCATTGCATGGGACCCAAAAGCACTGCCACGGACCCAACCTGATCTTCGAGAGACTCCGATACGTGCAGGTCTACAAGGACTCAAGCATGAAAATCCTTACAGTGGATAGAGGACATCTTCCAACATTTAGGATTCTCCTACACTGTAATGTAATGCCCAACATAGCATGGAGGTAGGGTATATAAGGCGATGCTGTCTTCCATCTATGATATCACAATCCTTCGCGCAATGCATATGGCCCGAAGCCTAAGTCAGAAACCAACCTTTCCCCCCCCCCCCCTCCTACACTGCAGAATCCTCAGCCCAAGCCCCCGAAGACTTTCAAGCCTCAAGAAGCTGAAGAATCTTGAGTCCTGAGAAGCTTCCCACCCCAAGCCCTACTTCTGATAGTAGTTTTCCATTTTCTTTTCCACTTCCGAAATAAGTACCCTAAACCCTGAACCCCAATATACCCCAGTATAATATAGTAGTTTCCATTTTATTTTCCATTATCCCCATATAATCCCTTGTATAACACTATATAGCCCCATATAACCCCTATATAACCCTATATAACCCCTATATAACCCAATATACCCCTATATAATCCAACCCTCTTTAAGACTTTAGTCATGAAGGCCAAGTGCAAGAGCTGCGCGAGCTTCGGAGCCAAAATTCGGAGCTAAAGGAGCAGAACAAGATTATCTACAGCAAGGCAATACCCACCAAGGTTTAGGGTTTAGGGTTTAGGGTAATACTGTAGTAGGTAATATGTAATAATAACAGTAATTGGTATTAGGTAATAGGTAACAGTACAGAATTCATGCAAAGTGTGTGGGTTTAGGGATATGGGGTTTTGAGAGTTTGTTGGGGTGTAGAGCTTAAGGTTTAGGGGTTATGGCCTTGAGGGTTGTGGGCTCAGTGTTCATGACTGCAGAATGCAGAGTAGCTGTAGTGGTTTCAGGGCTATAGTTGCCCAAGGCAACATTGTAAGAGCTATTTTTGTCTCTCTATGCCCTCCAAGTAGGGATGGGAGACCGGCTCACGAGCATGCAGATTTACCGTTGATTTTGAGCAAACTGTTTTCTCAGACCCGTGTTTGCGGTGCAGGCCCGCGAGTATGCGATTTACAATCGCGATGCAGAGGCTGCCATCATTGTTCCTGCTGCGCTGTGTAAGTTCTGAATTTCTCAGGTGTAATGCGCAGTGGCGACATTGCAGTAGTGCTCGCTGAGCATGTCTGGGCTGGCAAAAAAGTTAATCAAACAAGCAGGTTCGCGCTCAACGAGCAGAGCACACGAACAAGATTGTGGAAGCCCATGTGCAGGGCTCAGCATTTGTAGAGGATGCCCCTCATTCTCCACTTTTGGGGAATGCATAGACTGGTACGACTCTTTTGGGGTCGCCAGAAGCGAGAGGTCCCTTTTTGGCTGCCCTTAGCTTGGGGAGTCCCCACTGGGGTCCTCCTATTCCTGTGGAAACTCCCGTTATTTGGACTCTGATTGTGCATCAACCCCTGAAAGTCGCAACCATGAATTTCTACCTCTTGGCTGTTGAGTCAAGAAGACGTTTCTTCGCTTTTAAGCTTTGGCGTCCTCCATCCGGACCTGGAATGATTGCACACGTTAGGATTTTCAAGTCTAGGGCGCTTGTCCCACAAGAATCCTTACATGATCCCTCAAATGGCTTGTGTCTCGCCGTCCCGTACGGAAATAAAGAATACCTATACTGGTCAAGCGCTACGGACGGTTAAATCAATTTATTCCAAAAATCTGTTCCCACAGTGAGCATGCTCTCACTCAGGCACAGGACCTTACCAAGCAGATTGCCATTCTGCTCTACGAGAAGACAAGGTGCAATGTCCGACTCATGCCTTTCACGGGCTTACAGTCCCCTTAAGAAGATAGAATATGGGTCATATTGAGGATATTCTCATAATGTACCCAAATCCAAATTCTATCTACCTAAGGGGGACTATACAGGGACATCTAGGTTTAGGCATTGCAAGCGTCCCTCCATTTCCTTCACCTTTGAGGGCGTAAGGTGTAGATGTAAGGCAACGTAGGACAAACGGTGAGGTTGCAGGAATTATTCTCAACGTGCGGGCTACTGTCAGATGAGTCCCGTGATGAGTGTTGCTTATAATAGAAAAATCAAGAGCGATAGTAATAGTATTAGTAATAGTAAGATTACACATGTTATTGTCACAGCTCTCCCTTGCAATATTTACAACTGGTTGTTTTTCCATTGTGAGAACACGGACAGTGGGGAGCATCATGGCAGCCGCTGCTAGGTGTTAAGGAACTCATAGAAAGATACGGTCTGAGGTCCTTAAAGGGGGTTATGGGGTTATATATAGGGGGGATTACAGGGACCATATTTGGGATCATATAGGGATTATATAGAGTTTAGGGTCAGAACTCCTTAGAAAGGGTTTTATAGGGGATTATATGGGGGACCACTATAGAGTTATTCAGGGGGATACTAGGAGTTCAGACCTTATAGCTCATAGAAAGATACCACTACCTACTATGGAAGACATTCAAGTACTGTAGACGCGCATTACTGTAACTTCTATTACGTTCCTTAGCAGCAACGCAGTATCATCAATGAAGAAGCGGGGGCCTGCAGGCGTTCGACCATCAACTTGGCCGGTACATCTAGGACCTGGTTTGCGCTGAATCAGGCGCAGCTGTTTGCAGATGTCACCGGCTTTTCCCAGTGGGATTTTGCAAATACTGGGTTGCTGTTAAGGAACTTAATTTAAGTTACTATATTGGGGGAACTATATTAATTACTATATATACCCATTATGGTAACTTAATTTAAGATCCTTAACAGCAACCCAGAATATGAAGGGCGTCTCAGTGGACGGTCCTTCGGGGCAGTCCGCATCTTTCGGGTACGCCTTGTATCTTGGCTTTCGGAACTATTGTACCTGGTGGAAAAGGTTCGAAGTCCTTTTGCTCGGGGTGTGAAAGCGTATACACCCAATCGACTGCTTGAAGATCCCAGAGCAATTGGACAGCGGAGGGCCGGTATCATCTCGTTGAACATTAAATGGCATAGCTGCCACATTGCAATTGAATATAGTAGTAGTAAAAACGTAATAATATTGCAGTAATATACTCATAAAGTAGAAGTAATAGTAGTAGAGTAATGATATAGTAACAACATAAGACTTTGTAACTATAGCAACCTAGGTATTGCAAAACAGCTGTCTCAAAATAGTCGAGCTTATGGGTTGCTTGCCTTGCGTGCCTTTCCACGGCAGGCAGAAGAGGAAAACGAGTGGCCAATGACTTCCGTGCAGGACTATATTACATTGGGGTAATATAG